AATGGGTTTAACAATGGTAGCACAACATTAAAATGGGTTTAATGATGGGCTTCAAAGACTTATTTCATCTGGAATAAATTTGTTCTTGATGAAAGGTGTGTGGCCATAATCAATGGGGTGCATCTACTGTATTTGACAACCAGAACAGATCATATTTAATGCCTCTTCCTCCATTGTTAAAACCATTTACTATAAAATCTCCAACTCAAAAGTTGTTTGTTCTTCAGTACAAGACTTTTCTTTTACCTTGTTTAGAATCTCTCTCTTCTGGACCTATGTATCTTTCACCATTAATAATGGTCTCTAGACTCTTAACCCTTGCCCCTTCTTCCAAACTGTCACTTAAGGTTGCCCACCTCTGAAGTCTAGATTTCAATTATCATCAATTGCAAAGCCTTGATCCAAGGAATTTCCACAATTTCCCACTTCTAACTCCTGGTCAGAGAAAATTACAGAAAGTAAGAAAACACAAAAATATTAAGACAAATATCTGAATACTACAAATGACCTAGTTATATTGCAAAAATTGTCAGGTTACCTAATCAGCTGATTTTATAACATTTTGTAGGGTTCTTCACTTGACACAGGAGCAATGATAGCAGCCTGTAGTCTTTTTTTCCTGAGATCAATGCACCGCAGCCAACAATAAATTAGACACACAAGATTTTTAGTGTCAAATGTTCATTCCCACATTAAGATCACTTCTCAAAGTATATTTCAAAAAATAGGATCACTAGTAAATACTCTAGGAACTAATCAAGTTCTAAAGATACAAAGACCAACATCAGTCTTCCCATTGATAGTTAAAGGTCAGAATCTCTCCTCTGTGCTTTGATCCTTATTTCTACCCCATCTCACTATTATCTATAGTAGGTTTCTAACACTTCATAGTCTCCCTTTCAACTTATTCTGTTCTACCCTGTATTCTAAAGATAAAATAGCTATTCTAAATAATTTTCAAATATATGATTACCTTAATTAGAAATGGCCACCCATTATTGAATGAAATTAATCAATATCTGGTCGAGTATTCTACAACCCCCAAATTTCCTTTCTGTCTCCTTTTCCCATGGCTCTGGTATCTATATGCAGATCTTTCCATGCACATGTGATCTTTATCTCGCATCCTTGCTCTTCTAAATCCCTGGGGTACTTCGCTTCTGTCTACCTCTTGGCACACATTTAATCCACTTTCTTTTGTTAGATATCTCTTATTCCTCCTACTTGATCCATTAGATGTTAAGTTTTTTTAGAACAAAAATTGTATCTTACTCATCTTTGGATTCACTTTAGCAAAAAGTACATGAGTACAAGTTAGGTATTCAAAATAATAATAACAATGCTAAAGTTATGCAAAGTTATCTCGGGAAAGGATGTGAATGGAATTTTAATATATATAATTCTCTTGAAGCTGTGCTGAGCATGCATGCGTGGAATTTGTGTGTGCGTGTGCACGTGCTATTTTTGAGTTCAGTGTTAAAGTTATTTTTTTCTACCCATCCGCCGGAGAGGCATACCATATAATTCCTACAGTTAACATTCAAGGTAGCTAGCTAAAATAATGTCATATCTGCACTTGCACACTAGATCTGTGTATAATGTTGCTAATATCTGCTAAATCCTAAAATCTGACTCATATTTCACTTTTCCTGAGATGTCATGCATACTCAAGAACGCTTGTCTCCTTATTAAGTGTTTTTTATTCAGCTTTTAAGCAACATGATTCCCTAGATTGGTTCTGGTTATACTTGTACTTGACAATATATCTGCATAAATTGAACATGAGTCTTCCTAGTTAGTACGCAGCTTTTCAGCAACTGGGGTACGGTTACTCCATTCCCTGAGTAAGTGGAGGGTCACTCACGCCCGCATTGCAGCAGGTAGTGTGTGTTATGCATATGTATGCAGAGGAGCACCATGTGACCTATCCTACAGCCAGAGCCAAAAGAAATCACAAGCAAAAGGAAGAGCACAGAGTGAAACAAATGAGATAAAGACTCCGTAATTTCATCATCTCTTTTCCCACTATGCTTCATGAAAATACTGGAAAGTCCTAGAGCTCTGGAAGTCTGAAACTTAGTGTAAAACGGCAATAGGTTGTAATTAAAGCCCTCCTCTTTTGAAATAGCTTACATTACAGGGAGAAATGTCTAAAAGGATATTTAAATTCAGTATAAAAATCTAGCAACCACAATTTTAATTGCACACCAAGTGCAAAATATTTCTCCCATTGTCTAAATAAAAGGAAAGCTGTAATACATGCTGTCTGCTTGTTTCAGGACTCCGTTATTAACCTTTAAGAATCTTTTCTGGAATAAAAGCCTCTTTCTCCAGCAAATGAAACCCCATATGGGAACTTAATCTTCTAAAATTTTAACTTCTGCCTTGGTCTGTGTGAAAACTTTAATCCCTGATATAAAAACATCCTTACCAATATTTCAGACACAGGAATTTCAGAGCTTTTTAAAAATTGTCGATTCCAAAGTAATAATCTTTAAAAGTCACAAAAATGAAAAGCTCCTGTTTCTTCAACACAAAAACATACATAGGAAAAATAAACAATACACAATTTGATTACTCAACAGCAAGTCATCACAAACCTAAGCAAAGATTGGGCCACTGTTGCTATGGAGATGACTTTATGTGGTTCCGCTGTTCTGGGAATTTAACCAAAGCCCCAGCAGCAGAAGAAAATCATCAGCAAAAATTCAGTAACATATGGCAACTGCCAACAAATCAGTGAGGGAAAAATACTTTCATTTTCTCTTCCACTCTGTTGAAAGAAATACCTTTACATCAAGCTGTTTGAAGAAACACCCAGATTGTGTTGGTCACTCCATGTGTAATTTTAAACTAAATAATACCAAATTCCTTCATTCTTAGATTAACAGAGCTACTGGGATCCAGCCAGGCTTCTCAGTATATGCATTCCTAGAATGACATTTAGACACAGACAAGGACTGCACACATCTTCCCATGACTCTCAGTTTATTGACCCTGAAGGAAAACTCTAACTTCAAAGTTATCTCCTGGGAAAGAATGTGAACGGAATTTTAATATATATAATGCTCTTGAAGCTGTGCTGAGCATGCATATGTGGAGTGTGTGTGTGTGTGAGAGAGAGAGAGAAAGAGAGAGAGAGAGAGAGAGAGAGAGAGCTATTTAGTTCTTTTCATAGCCTTATGATTAAAGTAAGAACTTTTTATAGTAAAATAATAAATGCCCTGCTTTTCTTCATTTTCTTTAGTTCCACCAATCCTATACCTTAAATAATTATCTAATCATCAAATTAGAAGTCATCTAGATCTGGATACCTAGATTCCCTCTCCATTGTATTTTTCTCCAGAAAATCAAATACTATAATCTCTATGCATTATTCAAGTAATATTCTATGAAAAATGTTTGTTTCAGAATGAGTAAACACACCCATTGGTGAGGAAAGCACTACCTTTCAAGAAGCTTACTCTATTTGGAATAACACAACATCAAAAAGAAGTTTCTTAAGGTAAACCTAAATCTTCTCCTTTTAAATTGTACCATTAATCTTGATTTTGTACTTCCAAGGAAATTTAATTAAGTCCAACATTTTGACCACACAAAAGCATCTCACAAATCCCAGGACAGCTTAATAGTCTTTCCATTATTTGCAGTCCAAACTTTACCCCTCATAATATTCTTCCTCTGTGGTTCTGGTTTCTTGTTCCTTCTGTACCCAGTCAACCATCTCTAGAAGTTCCTTAGTCTGCCTATGGCTTCCTTCATTGAAGTTTTTTTAATGCAAAATATATCTTTGGTCTAAATAGAGGGGTATCAAATAAAAAATGTCATTGCAGGCCAAGTAAGTAGCTCAAAGGAGTAAAGCATCTTCAGGCAAGCACTCAAGGAGTGAGAATAACTGGGGTGAATTAGAGAGTGAGTTACCTGACTGTGTATTTAAACACATATTTTAAGATACTAGACACACACACAGGTTGGTCCGCATTTGTGATTCTTGACCTAAATTACTCCTATGTAAAAATTGAACTAATAGGCATATCTGAAAATTTGAGAATTTAAGAAGACCAGAGTTGTCATCTATATAATTAGACAATGGTGGCTAGTTAGTTTGAAAATTTAGCAAGTCAAGTTCCTCTCAATCATACCCTCAAAAATTCAAGCCATTATTCTCTTATTACTCCATATCCTATATCAGGTAACCTTATTTTGCACCAGAATGAATGACACACAATCAGAAAAGATATATCATGGTTGAATAGTAGTAAAAAAATTAGTTCTGACTAAAAGAAAAGAATTATCAAAGAGTATTTAAAAATACTCACATTATTGACTTCTATACCTAATTAAATCTTTTTTATTGAGTCTTAAAATTTTTTCAAAAGAATAAACTGTTCTCCTTTTTATTTATTTGTATTTACTTATTCATGTTTGGTAGCAGAGGTCAAACTCAGGTCCTTGCTCTTGCAAGGCAGGGGGCAGAACCACTGAGCCAAAGCCCTGGCCACTCCTTTATATTTAAAGATTCAGTGCTCCCCTCCAACACGCATGCAAATGCTCTCTCTATTAACCACTCCAGCACATTGAGGAGCTGGCTGGCTTCGGTACTAGACACGCTCTGTGTGCACTGCCCAGGACAGTGGTTGCTCTAAGCTTGTTTGAAAAACATCAAAGTGGTATTGTGAATACAAGATGACAAAATATCAATAAACCCCACAAGTTCCAGCGCATGTGACATGGGAACAAACTGGTGGAAAGGTATCATTATTTTAGATCACATATCTCAAGCTCTAAAGCATACAGTTAGTGACACTTAGAGCAGGTAATTAGTGACTTGACAATTGCAGCTGTCACTGGCAAGCTCTACAAAGATAGCCCCAACTGACTAATTATTGAATCGACATTCACGAGTTTAAATATTCTCTTCACAAATTCACATTGGTGCTCTATATACAAACACACAAATACCCATCCTCTAAGGAAAAATAAACAAATACTCATTTTACCTCCATCCATCATCCTTGATCCAGTAGGTTTGTCTGGGACAGTCAGATGGTCTTGATTGCTACTCAGTGAAGAAGTGTCATCACTAGATAAAGAGTTCAATAGCCCACTTTCAGCTGTGACAAAGCTGTTTTCTGGGGCCTTACAACTGTTTGCTTCTGAGGGTGCAGGCGAATGAACCTGCACAGCAAAAGTCAGGGAGTGGCCAACATCTCCCACAGCAGATGAACTATTAACTATGTCGAGCCAAGACTGTCTTTCTTTAGATCCCAAGGAAGCAAAGCTACCAGGTGTCTTCATTGTACTTTCCAGTGAGGAAAAAGAACAGGATGCTTCACTCAATTTGGGTGAGGAGGAAGATGCCCGCTGTGCAACCTATTTTCCATAAATAAAACCAAAACAAGAATAAAATAAATCAGATCAAACCATTCTATACCTTCCACTGTTATAAAGACACACCAGAGCTGTTTCAAAAAGTGGCCAAGAATTAAAAGTCAAAGGATAACTGGATATTTATACATTTATTTCTGTATCACAGCCATTAAGGTCTCTTTTGCCAAAAGTTATTTGTGTAACTTTAAATTAACCATTCAAGGATCTGAAAAAAAATCTCCATATCATGATTTATTCTATTTTTAATTGCTCTCCAGAAACTTAAAAGGTTTTTGGGGGGGGATTCTTTAGAATACTGAAGTACATTTTGAACAAAGAACAAAATTGTGATTTATCATAGAATTCACATTATTTGTGCAAAACCCCATGAGAAAGATGAGTAAGAAAAGGAAATCGGGGAGCTGAGAGTGTAGCCCAATTGATAGCCTGCCTAGCGTGCCCCATGCCTTGGGTTTAATCCCCAGCACCACAAAAAAAAAAAAAAAAAGGAGGGAGAGAGAAAGAAAACTCTTGTTAATAAGGGAGCTGAGGTTGGTGAACAAGAAAATACGAATATTTAAACCACTGTGCTTCTCAGCATGTTAACTCATTCACTCTTCAATCACTTAAAAACCTCTATAAATTGTCACGAAAGTAGACCAGAGTTCACTTGCACTCTCTTTATTCATCAAAGAGAAACCAAAATCTGCACCACTGATGAGGAGAAGTGGTTGTTAATAAGGGAGCTGAGGTTGGTGAACAAGAAAATACGAATATTTAAACCACTGTGCTTCTCAGCATGTTAACTCATTCACTCTTCAATCACTTAAAAACCTTAATAAATTGTCACGAAAGTAGACCAGAGTTCACTTGCACTCTCTTTATTCATCAAAGAGAAACCAAAATCTGCACCACTGATGAGGAGAAGTGGTCCACTGATGCGGAACTTCTGACAGCAGATGCTTACATACACTCCAAGGGTGAATGACTGTCTTTGGTGACCCCTTTACCACTCCCCAGAGGAAACACTGATGCGGCATTGCCAATAAGCACTCTCTGTTGGGAAGAGTCTCACATTTTCTGAGATTTTATCCTTGTTACATTTCCATGATGAAATATATGCTTTCTTTTGAAAGATGATAATTATATATATGAATAAGTATTTTCACATATAAATACTATGAATACACACACACACACACACACATACACACACACACACACACACACATATCCTTTGGAGCTTTCTTTTTTTAATACCCTATGTAACACAATCCTGTGTTGATAAGCTATTTTTAATTTTATTGGTCAATAAGCTCCAAAACTCTTGACTCTAGTGTTCTCCAGATCAGTACTCCAGTGGCATAAGAGAGAAAGAATTTATGGCTCACTTTCATTATATCATCCTTTAAGTTTCTCTGCATGATATTCCTTTTTAATATCAAGCATTTTTAACTCTAAGGAAGTGGCAGGAAGGACATTTTTAAATAAATAAAACCAAAGAGAAAACTAGGATCTTCTCCAAAAATCTCAAAATCATTGCACCAAACTCTTTTCCAAATCAGCATGGCCTCGTGAAATGTGCAGTTCCAAACTCTGAATTTTAATGGGAAATCTAGTATTTATTACCCAGAATGTGTTCAATTAATTCCATAGTAAGCATGAATTGTCAAATAATGTCTACTTTTAAGTAGCTTGACAATGAAATATCCACTTAAGATACAAATTGATCACACACACAAGCACAAACACATATCTCAATAGTAGTGTATTGCATAGATGTGAAAACATCACTCTTGACCGTTTAACAGTTAGGAGATCAAAGATCTGTAAACCACTAAATAAAACCTTATTTATCTGGAGGAAAGAATGTGCAACCCCTTAAACTGTCCAAATAAATGCCGGGAATAGTTTACTCACTAGCAGGAGCTATAAAATAAACATTAACAAATATATTCATGCTGACCCAGTTCTGACATGATCCCCTATTGTGAACTATTTTGGTAAAACTGAGCTTCCACGTGACCAGCTTCCATTTTTGAAAGGAGATCAAGCATGAGTTTTCCTGTTACTCCTGCTGATACTGCTGTAATTGGATTAGAGTAAAATGGGCTATTTGAAAAACAGACTGTGTACTCGGTTGTTGCAGCACTTTCCTCGATGTTTTTTAAAACCTCAAAACTCTGCTTGAGTGACTAAGGAAAGACAGGCTAAATGAGTATCAGAAAGGGCTGCAAAGTATATTCCTATTGGGGGTTTTCCAGACACCGTGCAAATAATCTCAATCTATTATCTCTATGCTGCATTATTTATTAAATTGGTTATAAAAGGAGGAAAGAAGGGTGAGCAAAACAAGAAGAAAGGAAAAGCAGGAATTAGATGAACCGAAAGGGAGAGGAGAAGATGAGAAAAGGCAATGTGTATTAAATAAGAGTGAGCTTTTATTGGAAGAGAGATTGACAAAGTACAAATCAAAATGAAGCTAGAACTCCACTTCAGAGGATGCATTATGGGATCAGCCTTTACAGACCATTTAGTACCAAAGTATGGTTCGTTATGTCTAAGATTTCGTAGCTGCCAATGGCAAGTACCAAGCTCACTACTCTTAGTGGTCCCTCCTGTGAAACACACAGAGCAATCATAAAATTCTCCAGCAAAGAGGAAATAAAGGTGGGAAGGAGTGACAACCTCTTATTGTCACTCCACCTTAGCCTGACGAACAGAAGCCTGTCCCTTCACGGTGACTTCACAGCCAGCTCTTCCAAGAAGACTTCTTGGATAGAGTCAGGACCAGGCAGGCACCCATGCCCAATGCTCCTAGGCTTGCTCCTATTATGCTAAGTGGAACATCATTTTATTTGCCAACTTATAATGTAATTGCGATTGAATGTTAATCTTCTGTGGTGAGCTTCTTGAGAACAGCCTGTTTTTAGTCATTTTTGCACCTCCATTTTTTGCATCTGTGCCTGACACACAGTTGGTAACAAATTAGTGCCAGGAAAAAAAAATGGCTTTGAAAGCCAGCTATGTGAAGAAAACTCCCCAAAGTAGTTCAGTTGCACACTGAGGAGCTTCCTGAAATTCTCTACAAAATTGTTAAGGGTAATTTATCTTAATTCCAGGATCAAAGGGTGGCAGGTACCAATGTATATAGGTTTATAATGTATATAGTTCCCATAATACCAACAAAATTGTTTTATTTAATTAGAGAATGATAATAGTATGTGATTTCATTAATTTAAGAGCATTTAGATTTGAAAGACACACACACACACACACACACACACACACACACACACACACACAGATTTTAAGAAACTGGCTCATGGCTAGGTGTGGTGGCCCAGACCTGTAATCCAGCACACTGGGAAGCTGAGGCAGGAAGAAATGAGCTAAATTCCCGGACCTGAAAGATTTCATTTTTTAATTAGAATATGACAGATACTTTGAAGATCTTAGTCTTAATTAAGAGACTCTGATATGGGCACAGTGGTGCATGCCTGCAATCTCAGCTACTAGGTAGGGAAGCTGAAGCAGGAGGATCACAAGTTCAAGACTAGCTTTAGCAGCTTAGTGAGACCCTGTCTCAAAATAAAAAATAAAATATGAGAGAGAGAGAGAGAGAGACAAACAGTCAGCCAGGGCAGGGGGGCAGGAAAGCCAGATGTTGTAGCATACATGTGTAATCCCAGTACTCCTGTCTCAAAATAGAAAATTTTTTCAGAGGTCTGGAGATGTTACTCAGTGGTAGACCTCTTCTGGGTTCAATCCCCACTACTAAGAGAAAGAGACAGAGAGAGAAAAAGAAAGTTAGAGACAGAGAGACAGGAACAGAAAATCAGAGACAGTTGGAGAAAAGTGTATGACTAAAGTAAAAAATGAACTCTTCCTATTTTCTGTATACTTTTATTTACTGAAGAAGCTTAATTCAAAAGTTAGCTCTAAAATTATTTTCTTTGAATTGTTTTCATAACACAAATTTGACATGGTGAAAAAATGTTTAAAATAACTTCCAAAAGTCCATAATTGGGAAGAAGTGAGTCAGCATATAAATCATCAGTAACTTTAGTCAAAGCACATGAGAAAAAGAAAAGAAAGGAATAATTAAAGATAATAAAACCAAATAAGAAAAAGGAGGGAAGATACACAAGTTTTATATCCTTTTGTTAGTTTTTTTTAATAAATTTTATTTGATCCCATTCCCCACTCTATGTACAAAAGCTTTGTTTCAATCTTTTTTTAGTTATATTAATAAAAGCCAACAAGTCAATTGTTCTTCAGCCCTAGGAATCATTATGCTTGTATTATTTCTATTTGCTTTAGGAAACATTATTCTGAAAGCCAGAAGACTTCATACAGTATACTACTTCCTCTGTCACTGGCCTTGTGCATGACCTTGATTCACGAACTGATAGGAAATCCACTTATCATTCTAATCCTTAAAATCCTTAGTATCTAAGAGTTGTTTCTAAAGCATAGCATACTTTAAAAAGACCACACCACTCCTCTGCTGAAATCCTCCAGTAACTACAAGTAGAGCATCAAACATGTTCATTAGAACCAAGAAGGCCCACTGGACCCCTGCACTGGTCCAGCTGCATTTCCTTCATCTCTCCTTTCCTCTATCCTTACCACGCACACTGACCTTCTTTCTGTCCTTTAAGGATATCTGTGAGTTCTGCTGCCTTACCAGCCTTCCCTGTGGATTTCTGTATGGCTGCCTCCTTTTTATCATTTACACCTCAACTCAAATATCACTTCTTCTTCAGGGTCTCCCCTAACAGGGGTAGAAAAAGCAGTACCTTTTCCATCCCAACTTCTAGCCACTCCCTAGTGTACTGCTCTATTTCATATTTTACTTGACCCTTACTGGTACTTGAATTTTTAAAATTATCAGTTTATTGTCCTTTAACTTAGAACTTAAGATCCTCAAGAGAGGGGATGCTCCCTGGGTCATTTCAGGGTTCCCTTATCCTCAACAGTGTATGGCATGTGGCAAGCAC